GAGAGAGAGTGTGTGTGTGTGTGTGTGTGTGTGTGCGTGAGTGTGTGAGTGAATAACTATAAAAAAAAAAAAATAAAAAAAATATATATATATATATATATATATATATATATATATATATATATATATATATATATATATATATATATATATATATATTATATTCATCTAAATTTTTTACTTTATTTAATTTAATACAATTTTTCTTACACCGTTTTTGTCCAGCATGTAAACACATTAACCTACTTTCTCTCTTTTTTTGTTATTGTTAACATGTGTGATTTGTGGCAGAAGCACATATTTTCTACAGACTTAAGTGCATCCAGAGCGAGCAAACATTTTCATACAGTAATGGAAGTAATATAGAGCAAATTCAAAAGCTTTTCTGACCCAAATAAATATAAACATGTGTCCTCATGTCGAGCAGCAAAAGTAAATAGCATAAAAGGGATAATAAATAATGGTTCTAAATGTTATAATTCTCTTCTTGAGTGTTTAATAATTTATTAAACATGGCAAGCAGCATAAAAATAAGGTACTCAGATACATATATAATCAAATTTAATGCTACTACTGGGAAATAATCTGATTTATTAATGAAATCTTGTAAACACTGTGTGTTTTCATTGCTGGGTTAATGGTTTATATGTAAGCCACTGTTCTGTTGTCATATAATAATATCAAAATAATATTCATTATTCCCATTGTACCCTATTCAAAAATTCTACAGTGGGGTTCTGGATCTGTGACTATCTACTATAAATACAAAAATAAAATAAAATAAAATAAATGAGTACAAGAATTTAAGATAAAAAATTAAATAAATAAATAAATAAATAACAATAAATAAATAAATAAATAAATACATATGTACAAAAACTAATAACAAAATCAATAAACAACAATAAATAAAAAGGATAAATAAAATGTAACTTGCTAAATAAACAAAATAAATAATAATAACATAAAACAAACAAACAAACAAACAAATAGATAAATAAATAAGTAAAAAAAATAAACAAAATAAAATTAAGAAAATCAATTAATAAACAACAATAAATATGTACAAAAATAAAGTAAATTAATAAATAAACAACAAATAATAAATAAATAAGTACAAAATAAATAAAGTAAAATGTATAAATAAATAACTAAATAAATAAAAAAATACAAACAAAAAATAAATAAATAAATAAATAAATACAAAACTAAAAACAAAATAAAATAGTAAATATAAAAAAAATAAAATGCTAAAAAAATAAAAATAAAAAAATAAATGAAAAAAATGTAACTCGCTAAATGAATAAATAAATAAATAAATAAATAAATAAATAAATAAATAAATAACTAAAGCTTGCAAAATAAATAAATAAACAAATTATTAAACATGTAAATATTGAATTATGTAAAAAAATAAATAAATAAAACTTGCTAAATAAATGTAGCTTGCTAAATAAATAAATAAATAAATAAATATGTAAATAAATAAAAAAAAAAAGCTAAATAAATAAATAAATAAATAAATAATTCATGAAATAAGTACTGTTATTTGTACAGTGTCAAATTTTCCTTAATTATGCCTGTATAAAATAAACATATACAAATTTTTGCCAGACATTTTTACAGCACAAGTTACCACAATTTACACATTAAGAAATCCATGTGACAGGATAATAAACTAATAATAATACACTGCAGAAAGCCATTCTACAGATTTTGAGTAAATGTGTTTGAATAAATATTTATACACTTTTCATTATGTTTTCAGCAATATCGTTAATTAATAACTGCAATACAATCTGATGGGTAGGATAAAAATGTCAGGACACTGGGATTCCTTATTCTGGGGTAATTCAATAAGCTGTCAGCATATTGGTGTGCATGTAAACTTGCTAACGGAGTGAAATCCGAGAAACGAGATTGTAAATGATGTCTGCATTTATAAAATCCTCCACATAGAAACAAAGAAGTAGAGTTGAGTTCAACAGCCAAGGTGTCTTTGCATAGGAAACATTTTTATTCATTTCCAGCTGCTGAAACGGTTTTCTGGCTTTGACGGTGTTTAGATCACGGCTGACACCCAACATTGATGAGGTAATAAAGATGAAGTGTTTTACGCTCATCAGACGAACTGCTCACCATTAAGACACCCTGATAATAATAAACCCAAACTGACCTGAAGGTCATCTGAAAGACCTGTCCCAGGATCAGCTGCTGGCTCTTGTTGTTGTATCCGTGCAGCATCTCGCTGAAGAGTGTGTTGTTGAACCGCGAGTCTTGTTTAGGACATTTGGGTCCTTCGCAGTGATCAGCCAACAGAAGACAAGAGCGGCCGTCAGCTGCCAGCTTATATTCCTGCACACACCTGACAAACACACACACACACACACGCACACACACACACACACACACAGACTTTATTTTGTATTATTTATTATTGATAATTTCCATTAGATTCATATATATCTATATCTCATTCATTTAAGCTAAATAAAACAACATTAATAAATTTGAATACAGATGAATTGCAATAAACAACTGTGGTGAAACCAGGAACACATGTTGCGCCTTATAGAACCGGGTGTATGATAGAGCCCTCAGAGTTTTCATTTGATTTTATCGTTATTCATTCGTTCATTCATTTTCTTTTCACCTTATTCCTTTTATTAATTTGGGGTCACCACAGCGGAATAAAGCGCCAACTAATCCAGCATATGTTTACCCTTCCAGCAGCAACCCATCACTGGGAAACATCCATACACACTCATTCTCACAAATAAACTATGGACAATTTAGCCTACCCAATTCACCGGTACTGTATGTGTTTGGACTGTGGGGGAAACCGGAGCACCCGGAGGAAACCCACGCCAACACAGGGAGAACATGCAAACTCCACACAGAAATGCCAACTGACCCAGCCAGTGCTCGAACTATTATTATTATCATATATATCATATTATCATATTATTATTATTATTATTATTATTATTATTATTATTATTATTATTATTATCACTATTATTACTATTATTATTATTATTATTATTATTATTATTATTATCATCATTATTATTATTTTATTATTATTATTATTTTGAATTGTTTGTTGTATGTGAATTTATTTGAATAAAAAAAAGAAAAATCAATAAAATACTATTGTTAACATTACAGAATAATTTATTAACTATAATTCAAAATATCTGTATTTCTTATGTCAGTATGTAGTAAAATGTAATTTATTATTTTGGTTGAAATCTGCATTTTCTGAAATAAATGTTTTAAATTATTCTAAAATTATTTTAATTATTCTAAATAAAATTGAAATTCAACTTTATCATTATTATTATGATTTTAAAACACATATTTTGTATATTTTTTGTATTATTGAAGGTTTAAATACAAAACTTTTATCTTTA